GATGGGATCTTTGGGATGGGATCCCCAGGATGGGATCCTCGAGGTGGAGCCTGGGCTCAGGGGAGCCTTTTTTTTCCACACAGGAGCTTCTTCCCGGTGGCTTTCGGGTTTTTGGGCTCGCTGGCAAACATCCCCCTGCTGAGCCAGGTGAGAAGGGTCTGGGGACCTCTCGGGGTCCTCAATCCCTGTCTGGGATCATCCCCACGGAAAGGATTGCACAGGAAATGTCACCGTGGTGTCCCCAGAGCTGCACGGGGCCATTTTCTTGCTAATCCTGCTCTGTCCCTGTCACAGCTCCTGCAGAAAATGGGGGACAGCGGCTCCATGGTGTGACCTGACCAGTTCTGGGCCGAGTGGCTGCGATGGGACAGGGTGAGAGAGCCCCAGGTCCGGCTGTCCCCAAGAGCTGGTGACTCTCTTGTCCCCAGGACCCTCGGAGGTGGCCAGAGCCACCCCCCAGCAGGGACAGTGTCCCCTCACTGTCCCATGGAGCTCCTGAGCCAGGCTCCGGGCTCCAAGGGCTGTACCAGCCTGGATTCTGGAATTCTTGTTGTTATTTAATTCTTTTCTGTGAAAGATTTAATTTAATAAAAAATATATCTGAGAACGAGCTCAGACTCGTCTCCTTTCCCAAGGCTCAGGGCTTGTCACCTCCCGATGTCACCTCCTGATGTCACCAGAAGGCATCGTGGCCATGGCTGGAGGTGGCACAAGGACATTGCCATGGCTGGGGGTGGCACAGGGACATTGCCATGGCTGAGGGTGGCACAGGGACATTGCCATGACTGGATGTGGCACTGGGCACTTCACAGGACAGGAGCTCCCCCGGCGTCACCTCAGGTGATTTTAAAGGAGTTCTTCCACCCGGGCTGCTGGAATTGCTCTCCCCAGGAGCAGGGGTTGGATAACTCCTGGATAACTCCTGGTTAACTCTTGGATAACTCCTGGTTAACTCCTGGTTAACTCTTGGATAATTCAGCATCCCCACAGGCTGAGCTGGATCCCAGCCGGGTTTCCGGGAGCGCTCGTCAAGCTGGAATTTAATTAAACCCAAAATTAATCACATCAAAGCTGCTCCCTGCGCCCAGAGCCCTCCTTAACGTGCAGGAATTAATTAACGAGCTGGAGCTGAGCCTGTTCCCTCCGGAGCCGGGTGGGAGATGGTGGCTCTGGGCCTGCTGTCACCTGGCTGTGCTCGTTGTCACCTGTCTATGCCCGCTGTCACCTGGCTGTGCCCGCTGTCACCAGCCCAGGTGTGCTCCAGGTGAAAGCAGAGCTGGGAGCGGCTCTGGGCTCATTTGGGCACCCAAATCCCAGCTGAGGGAAAGGAAAAGGAGATTCCTGACAGGAACCTGGAGGGTTGGAGCCTCCTCAGCGCCTCTGTTCCTGTTTTGTTTCTCTCCAGCTGAAAATTCCCGACGTTTTCTGCTGAGGATTCATTTTTAGGCCTTCACCAGGAGGAAGAGGAAGATTCCCAGAGGCAGCGTGAGCAGGATGAGGAGATTCCCGAGGTTTTTAGGGCTCCCATCCCTGTGGAAACTTGTCCAGGTGCTGGGAGGTGCCATCACCTCACCCTGCTGGAAAACCGAGGATGAGGAGATTCCCTGGATGGCAGAATCACGAAATGATTTGGATTTTTAGGGATCTTAAATCCCATCCCATGGAACACCTTCCCTTAGCCCAGATTGCTCCAAACCTCACCCAGACACTTCCATGGGGCAGCCACAGCTTTTCCAGGCTGGGAAGATCCTCAGGGAATTTCTGGGAATTCCCTCAGCCAGAGCTCCTCTCCAGAAGATTTTTGCCGGGAATATTTCGCCACCCGCCCCCCCCCTCCCGGCTCCTTAAATCCTCTCCCTGGCAGGGATTTGGTTTCACGCCCTGACGTCAATCCCTCAATTCCCCCGGTGCCATCCAGAGCCTCCCTAAGCCCTTCCCAATTTTTTTTTTTTTTTCGGTCACCCGGAATGAGGATCCTCACGAGCTCCGTGTGTTTTCACCACCAGCAAAAAATCCTGGATTAGAAAAGCTGGAAAATGTGTGGGAAGAGCAGAAATTCACTGCCTTTTTTCTGTGCTGCTCCAAAAAAAAATCCCTCAAAAGCCAAACTTCCCAATGATTTTGTTTGGAGCGGGAAGAGTTAAAAAATCCGGATTTTATTTTAAGAAAAGCACCCACTCAGCCCGGCAGGAGAGAGGAATGAATTTATCCATCGGGAAGGCGATTGTTCCTCTCTAGGAAATGTTTTCCTTCCATTCTCCCTGAAAAAACAGGCAGGAAAATGACAGGGGAGCAATTCCCTATTTCCAGAGGAGCTGCTCTTGATGGGATCCGTTTTTGGATAAAAACCAAATTTTGGAGCAAACTGCAGCAGGTTCCCCACGTGGGTCCAGTGAGGGATTTCTGCCTCTCCCTGATGCCCCTGGAATTTTGAAATTTGGAATTTTGAAATTTGGAATTTTGAAATTTTGAATTTTGAAATTTGGAATTTTGAAAATTGGAATTTTGAAAATTCAAGCTGGAGGGATGTTTTGGGGCTGCACGGAAGAGTTCGGGATCTTCCCTGCGGGTCTGAAAGGCTGGGAATGAGCCCGGCATTGTCCCAGAGCTGCCTGATGTCCCTGTCCCCTTCCCTGACGTGTCCCTGTCCCTCTAATCCCCCACAAAACCACTTTTCCAGGTTTTTTTAAACCTTTCCCGTCGCAGATCCCACTCCAGGCTGGCAGAGCGAACTGGGAAATTCCTTGGGGGGGTTTTCCCAGCATTGGGAAAGTGTCCCAGTCTGGGGACATCCCGGAGCCCTGGGGCTGGGACAGCCACCCCAGTGGCCACCCCGCAGCAGCAGCCCTTGGCTCTCGGATGGATTTGGGGAATTCGCTTTTCCCTGTTTTCCCATCCAAGGGAATTCCGGGGCCATCCCAGCGGCAGGGAATGGTTCCTCCATCCCACAGCACTTCCCAGCTTATCCCACTCCGGATTCCCCACAGGAGACGGGTCCAAAGCCGTGCTCAGAGCATCCCAAATCCTGGGGGATCCCACACATGTGGCTCCCCAGAAGGGGCTGGAAAAGTCGGATCCCTGTGGGGGTTTAAGCTGGGCTTTGCAGCACTCAGGAGAGCTTTGTCACCAGTCTCTGTTTCCCCCCAGAGCCAGGGTTGATGCAAACACGGTTGAGGTGATTCTCGTGTTCGGGTTTGGGTGTTTCTTGTATTTTATCAGAAATTACAGAAAGTGGGGCAGCACCTCCAGCTCCTTGCTAGAAATGGGGGAAAAAAATGGCCCCAGCTGAGGCTGCTTCAAGGCCTTTTAAAGCCAAACAAAGCAATAAAAGTTTAACACCTCCATTATTGATCCTTTAACCCAATAATAGATTCTTAGAGTGACATTGACTGACCAACCAAAGGTCACTGCCTGAGTTCTGTGGAGAAAACTAAAAAAGAAGATGAACAAAGAGAAAGACACCACCCAAAATTCTCCATCCTGTCCCATACCCACCACTATACTATAAAAACCCCAAATTTAAAACCCATCACCAAGTGAAAACACACACACCTAACCCACTGCACATTGGTGATTTCTAACTCATCATTCATATTTCCAAGCTTTCTCCAAGGTTTTAGGTCCAGAGCAGTGTTTTTTAGGGGGTCTGTGCCTGGAAGCACAGAAATCTCCAAAAAAACTCTAACAGATCCCCCACGGCCCCAAATCCCAGGCCCCCTTTTCCCTTTGATGTCCTGCTGCACCCTCGGCTTTTCCTGTGGGGAACGGAGCTTGGCAAAGCCGGCAGAGCCCGCGGGATGCCCGGGCAGGGATTTATGGCCGCGGGCTCCCTGCCAGGCTCTCTCACATCGCTGCTGCTCCTGACCCCGCTCCCACCCCACAACCTGCGCGGGGCCACGAGGCTCCCCGGAGTGACGCAGGGACACGGGTCCTGCGTGGGAAAAGACGTCAGGGATGGGGGCAGAGCCCCGTGGGGCTGAGCCCTGGGGCCTGCCGGGGTCAGCGGTGCCCTGGCAGCCGAAATCCCGCAGGGAATGAGGCGCGAAGCCTCCGGTTTTGGGGGAAAGTTGTTTGGAGTTTGTGGGGTGTCCCCCAGGACTGGGGTGACAGCGGCGCCCTGAATAAATCCCGTGAGGGGGAGGGTGGTTGGAGGGCTGGGGGTGGGGGTGAAGGTGACCTCGGGGTTCATCCAAGAACATTTTTATTGCCTTTGGAGTCGTTTCCCACCGAGATTCCCGAGGTTGGGAGACCCTGGGGGCCGCGGGGCTGATGCAGCACCCCCCACCCTGGGCTGGGCACTGCCAGGGGGGGCACAGAGAGCTGGAGGGGAGCCAGGGGTGCAGCCGGAAGCTCCTGAGGGTTTTGAGCAGGGTCTCCCATCCCAAACACCCGGATCTGACCCCGTCTGGAGCAGCTGAGATGAGTTTGGCCGTTCTCTGCTCCAATCTCCAGCCCTGGTTTAGCAGAGCTGGGGCTGGGGGGGCTCCCCAGGGCACCCCAAAAAGGGCAGAGGGGGCTGGGGGGTCTTCACTCCGTGCCTCCATGGCCAACAGGACCGAGTGTCCTTTGCTGTTCCCACTCCCTTGAGGAAATCCCGTCATTCCTCTGCGGGGGGAGTTTGGGGACATCTCCCTGGCCAAGATGTCCCCCAGGGCTGTGCCACCACCAGCACCCCCAGCAGCTCTCCCAGCTGGGATTTGTGTCCCTCACATGCCGTGATTCCAGAGCAATCAGCTCCAAGGAATGAGCGATCCCATCTCCCAAATCTCCACAGCTCCTCTTGTCCCGTTCCCTGTGGACACTGCCACCCTCCATGGGGACTGTCCTGGACACCTGCCCGGTGCCATCCATGCCATTCCCAGCCTGTCCAGTCCCATCCACGCCATTCCCAGCCTGTCCAGGACTATCCACGCCATTCCCACCCTGTCCAGTTCCATCCCTGCCATTCCCAGTCTGCCCAGTCCCATCCCTGCCATTCCCAGTCTGCCCAGTTCCATCCATGCCATTCTCAAACTTCCCAGTCCCATCCACGCCATTCCCAGTCTGCCCAGTTCCATCCATACCATTCCCAGTCCCATCCCTGCCATTCCCATCCCTCCCCCTGCCAGGGGAGGAGGGACCCGCAGGGATGGAGGATCCCGGGCTATAAAAGCTTCCTCCCCTCCGGGACGGGTCGGGACGGAGCTGCCGGCACGGGAGGTGACAGCGGGAGGTGACAGCGGGGACACGATGGCGGTGGCACCCAGCAGGAGGCTGCAGCGGTACCTGCTGCTCCTGGCCGTCACCTGCGGCTCCACTTTTGTCCCCTGGCCAGCCCAGGCTTTGCAGAGGTAGCCGGAGCTCGTGTGACCCTCACGGCGCTGTCCCCGCTTTGATTCCCGGCTCTGCTGAGGAGGGCGAGGGGCTTTGCTGCTTCACCCTCTTCTTCCTCCTCTTCTGCTCTTCCTCACTCCTCTTCCTCGAGCACCGCATGGTCACCCTGGGACTCCGCCAGCCCCGCGGTCTCTCCCAACCTCAACAATTTGGGAGCACCCCGAACCCCAAATAACCGAGTTTGGGGTCGGGCTCGGGGTCTGTGGGTGCCTCCTGCCACCCCCACCCACCCGAGGGTCCCCACCCTGGGTGGGCTCGGGGTCTGTGGGTGCCTCCTGCCACCCCCACCCACCCGAGAGTCCCCACCCTGGGTGGGCTCGGGGTCTGTGGGTGCCTCCTGCCACCCCCACCCACCCGAGGGTCCCCACCCTGGGTGGGCTCGGGCTCATCCTGCGCTGGGAGCGGGACCCACCGAGGGAGCGGCGGGGAGCTGCTGCCATCTAGAGCCGCCCGGCTGGAGTTCCCGAGGCTGGGAATGCCGCTGGAATCTGCCGGGGGGACCCCAGCCCTGTGCTGCCCCCCAGGATCCCTCTGCGGAGGATGCCCTCCATCCGCCAGACGCTGCAGGACATGGGGGTGAAGGTGCGGGACGTGTTCCCGGAGCTGCGCCGGGCCACGCGAGGAGGAGGAGGAGGAGGAGGAGGAGGAGGAGGAAGAGGGGACAGTCCCCGCAACGGGACAGCTCCCACCCTCCTCACCAACTACCTGGATGTGAGTGTGGGGAGGGGTTTGTCACCTCCGTGTCACCCGGCTCGGCTCGGAGCTGTGCCCCAGGGATGCCCCCCGTGCTCCCCCCAGACTCAATATTTCGGGGAGATCAGCATCGGGACCCCCGCGCAGACCTTCAAGGTGGTTTTTGACACGGGCTCGGCCAACCTGTGGGTGCCATCCTACAAGTGCTCCCCCCTCTACAGCGCCTGTGGTGAGTAGGGGGGCACGGCCCGGGGGTGGGGGTGAACCCCCAAAACCTCCGCGAGTCCCTGGGCTGCTCACAGGGGGCTGGGGTCTCTTTTCCCACAGATTTTGGGGTCTCTTTTCTGGCAGAGTTTTTCATGGGGAGGTTTCTCTGTTGGTATCCAGATCCCTGCCATTGAGACGGGGTGGGTTCATTGCCTCCCCCCCCAAGGGATTTTGGGGGGACAGAGATGCTCTGTGCCCCTCTGGGATGTCCCTTTTCCCTGTCCCCAGTGTCCCACAGCCGTTACGACTCCTCCAAATCGCGCACCTACATCGCCAACGGCACCGGCTTCGCCATCCGCTACGGCACCGGCAGCGTCAAAGGCGTCCTCAGCCAGGACATCGTCATGGTGAGCCCTGGGACCCGCAGAATTCCCAAAATTCACAGACCTGGGTCCACAGAATCCCCAAATTCCACGCACTGGAACCCACAGAATCCCCAAATTCCACGCACACCTGAAACGCACTAAATCCCAAAAATCCACACACCTGAAACCCACAGAATCACCAAATTCTACACACTGGAACCCATAGAATCCCCAAAATCCACACACCTGGAACCCACAAAATCCACACACCTGAAATCCACAGAATCCCCAAATTACACACATACCTGAAACCCACAAAATCCCCAATATCCACACACTGGAATCCACAAAATCCCCAAAATCCACAGGCTTGGAATCCACAGAATCCCCAAAATCCACACACCTGGATCTGCTGGCTCAGCTCAGGAGACTGTGGAGTTTTTTGGGGGGGTTAAGGGATTTTTTTTTAGGGTTTGGGGGGGGGGCGATTTTGCTGGGTTTTTCGGGGGGTTTTGGAGAGATTTTTGGGATTTTTTTTTTTTTTTGAGAGGTTTCATCCCTCCCAAGTCCCCCCGTGCCCTCCCCAGGTGTCGGACATCCCGATCATCCAGGTGTTCGCCGAGGCCACGGCCCTGCCCGCCTTCCCCTTCATCTTCGCCAGGTTTGACGGGGTGCTGGGCATGGGCTACCCCAGCCAGGCCATCGATGGCATCACCCCCGTGTTCGACCGAATCCTGGCCCAGCACATCCTCAGGGAGGACTCGTTCTCCGTCTACTACAGCCGGTGGGTGCTGGGGGGGCGGGGACACCTGGGGGGGACAGGGATACCTGGGGGTTTCAGGGATACTTGGGAGGGACAGGGACACCTGGATTCAGGGACACCTGCGGGGTTCAGGGATACTTGGGGGGGACAGGGACACCTGGGGTTCAGGGACAGCTTGGTGGGACAGGGACATCTGGATTCAGGGACACCTGGGGGGTTCAGGGACACCTGGGGGGTTCAGGGCCACCTGAGAGGGACAGGGACACCTCGATTCAGGGGT